GGGATAGAACACGTAATGGGTGTCAGCAAACGCTTCACAGTCCTTGAAGTGATCCTTTAAAGAGTTCTGTTGTGTGGAGGAAACGCAGTGAACAAAGACAGGAAGAGTATGGGGCCACACAAGTCTTCAGTGTGTTTCAGGCCAAATTTCTGAGTTCGGCAGAAAAAGAGTTGAGAAAAGGTGGCAGGGCAGGCTGGAGCAGCACCCACAGTGTGTAGGAAACTGGAAAAATTAGAGGAGGCAATATTTATTAAGCCAGTACTCATCAAGTGCAAGGAAACTAAACTGTGAACAAGACAGACATCATTTCCCTCGTGGAGTTTTCCATCCATGGAAATGGACCTTAAACGACTAAGCACACAAATATATCATTGTGAGTTGTGCCTTGGGCTTGAAAGAAAAGGATAGGGAGACAGTGGAAGAGTGGGTAAGTAGAGGGTGTGCCTCTTTAGATGGGGAGGCCTTGCAGAGGAGGTCGCATTGAAGCTAGAGTTAGCGTTATGCAGAGAGGAGGAAGTGTATTCTAGGCAGAAAAGATATCTGGCGAAACAGGCTGATAAGGAAGCAGTTTAAAGTTCTTGAGGTGTGAGAACATTGGGTGAGTTAGAGAAAGAGCAAAATCAGTGTGGCTAACTGATTTGGGGATACCGGTGGTCGGTGCAGGCTTGCAGGCAGTGGTAAGGCATTTGCAATTTATTTGTAGTGCAACAGTAAGTCATTGAAAGGCTTAAAGTGAGAATGCTAGGATCTGATTTATATGCTTGAAAGATCTGGAGAAACAATTGGAGGAAGGCATGGCAACAGGAAGACCAGTCAGGATTCCAGACACTAGAGTCCAGGTGTGAGATGATGATGGTGGCATGGCTTAGGAGGAAGTGGTGAAAAGGGTCCAGTTCAGAATGTGTTCTGAAGGTACTGATGATAGGACTTGCTGATGGATTGGATAAAAGGGGTGAATGAGATATTTTTGGTTTACACATCTGGGTGAATGGAGGTACTGATACTCAACAGGAGAAAAACTGAAGGAAGGGCAGATTAGGGGGAGGCGGATCAGGAGGTCAGTTTTGGACCTATTTCTGAAATGCCCAGGAAACATCCAAGTGGAGAGATGCCCAGCAGGTAGTTGGGGAGCTCAGGGAGATGTTTGAGTTCTAGAAAGAGACCTGGACTCAAGTTTACTGTGCAATCCCTCTGGTCAGTGTTCCATCCTATTTCTTCTCCATAAATGCTCTTGAAAGTATTCTGTGAATCACTGTGACCTTCTGATTGCCAGATCCCGTGGACGATTTTCAGTTTCATCTTCCTCAGCCTTTGTAGCATTTGACACAGTTGGCTACACTGTCCTTGAAACACATCACGTTGCTTCTATGACACCACGCTCTTGGTTTTCCCTATGTCTGTGGCTGCTTTGCCAGCTTCTCTACCCAGTTTAAATCAATGGTTTCCAAATTGTTATGAAAAAAATTAGAACTTATATGTATACATATTTTAATTTCATCCTTTATAATTTCTATTTTTGTGTATGTTTTATAAAGTGCCCATGTGTATGGTATAGTAGAGGCATATTCTTAATTTTTCTGAAAATGTACATTCAAAAAAGTACAGGCCATTTGTCTAAGTGAAAGGATTTTTAGGTAATCTCATTCAGCCCCATATCTTTAATTTCAATCTGCATACTTTTAAATCCAGAATTTCTGTCTCCTACCCTAGTCCCTATTGAACTCCAAACTCCTGTAGCAGCTGCAGTGTATTCAGTAGAGATCTGAAGGAGGTAGGTGATGAGGGAGAGGGGCATGTTCCAGATCAAGGCAAGAGCTTTCCACGGAGCCCTGAAGCAAGACAGCCCAGTGCATTCAAGAAGTGGTGGCTGACTTGAAGATCAGTAGTGAAAGATGCAGATAGCAGGGGCCTAATAGAGCTTTGTGCTGATATGTTGGACTCTCTTCTGAGGGCAGTGGGAAGCCACTTAAGCATTTATCTCCAGGGAGGAGAAATGATTTGAAGCATATTAGTAGAGGATCACAGTATTTCTTCATTTTAACAGTGAGTCAGATAAGGCCATCCAGGGTTCCTGTGGCCAAACCAGTCATGGATCCCCAGGCTTTTCCCTCCCAGTCCAGTGCTCCTGTTGCCTTTCTATCCTTCAGCTTGGGCAGTGTTTGGGGTACAGGGAACTTACAGGTGTAGGAGATGCCAGCATCTGGAATGGCCACCCTCCATGTAGTGTGACCCCTAATACCTTGGCTGTGGTCCTGGTCCTGCCATTGGGCCGTGCTTTTAGGGAAGCAAGTTAAGTAAGGCCACCTTCATAATTGGTCCCTATTATTACTGTATAGTGCATCCAGTCTTCTCAACAGTCTTGCAAGCTAGTAGAAAGTGAAGCTAAGAGATGAAGTAACTGGTTCTGTATCATATGGTTTATACCTGGGCAAGCTGTAAATCAGACTCTTGTCCCATTCCCAGAGCTAAATTCTTTCCTTCTTGTACATACCAGGAAACTCAGATTTTAGCAGCAAAGGCAGACCCGTAAAAAAAAAACAATTTGATATAATGTGTTCAGTGTTATAAGCAGACACTGAGGTGGGCTTGTTCTGCCTTTGGAGACTGGTAAGACTTCCATCCATCTACTGGAAAAAGGAACAAGACAATACTGGTAGCATATAAAGAGAACATGCGTGCCTGGAGCTCAGGATGGAGCAGGCAGTCAGAAAATGACCATGTGGAGTAAGGGTGGGGCCTGCACTGTGAAGGGCACCTGGGCCAAGTCTGAGTCACCTTTGACTTCCCTTTTTTTCACATCCTATATCCAAGCCATCAAGTCTTGTTGGTTCAAATATGTAACCAGAACCTGAATATTTCTCACCACTTCCACTGCTAGCGCTCTGGCCCCTGATCCAAGCCACCACTATCTCACCTACCTTTTTGCCAGCACTTCTGCCCTTGCCTATCTGCAGCCTGAGTACACTGGACAGAGCCGCCTGAGAGAGAGAGAGAGAGATCCTTCTAACACAGTAGACCTCAGTCTTAGCTGCATATTAAAATCTGGGGAATTCTCAAAAAGGTCTATCTGTACCTCACCCAAGTTACTCTAATTTAGTTGACAAGAGTGGGACCCAGGTAGAAGTATTTTGTAAAGCATCCCAGATGATGCTAACTCGTAGCCTGAGTTGAGGACCACTTTCAGTATGTGAGTCTGTCTTTTTTCTGTCTAAATCCTCCAACACTTCCCATCTCAAGAGTGTATAATCCTATAATCTACAAGGCCACATGTGGTCTGGCCTGTGACCTCTCTGACCTCTACCTCTTCTATTCCAGTCACACAGACCTTTTTGTTCATTGAACTTGTAAGGTACTTCTGCTTCGAGGGTCTCTGCCCTTGTTCCCTCTGCCTTAAACACTCTTCAACTAGAAGTCTCCATGGCTCAATCCTTGGCTTCCTTTTAGGTCTCAGCTCAACTATCACCTTGGGTGATGCCTTCCTAGACCACCCTCTTTAAAATTGCAACCTCTGCCCACTACCTCTCTGTCCTCTTTGTCTTCTATTTCTTTCACACTTGTCATCATCTGACTTCTGATGTATTTTATTTACACTGTCTCTTCACTAGAATGTAAACCCCAGGAGATAAGGAATTTTTGTTATTTTTTTTATCTGCTGTATATTCCTACCACTTGGTGTCTGACATATAGTAGATCTCACTAAATTTTTGTTGAATAAATGAATCTCTCTGTATGTCTGTTTATATGTTTTGGTGAGGCTGGTCCATGGATTGGGCCATGCAGAGTCTGAGGCACTATGGGATACCAGTGGAGAGGTCTGGCACTGGGTTTGAAGCAGATGACTGAAACTGGGGGAGCAGCTGATCAGCCCAGAGGAACATGGACATGGGGGCAAAGGAGCCCCCCAAACCTGCTTCTCCCATGTTCATCTTGATGGGTGACACCTCCCTCTGCCTGTTCACCAGACAGGCACAGGGGGTTATCTTGGACTCCTCACCTCCCAGACAAGTTTTGTATTACTGTCTAAGTATCTCCAAAATTACCCACTTCTGTGTGTGCACTCCCACAGCCATCCTCTCCCCCAGGATGCCATAAACCCAGCCTCAGTGCCTCCATTGTTCTCCACATTGCAGTTTAAATGGTTTTCCTCAAACGCAAAATTTGACCTTCTCCCTCAGTTTTTAAAATCTTTCAGTGGGCTCCCTGCTGCCTTTAGGGCCAAGTTCCAGCTCTCACAGGCCTTCTGTGCACCTGGGCTGGCTTCCCTCTCTAAAGTTTCCTCTTGCCACTCAAGTCTGTAGGTCTCCAAGGCGCAGGACTTCCTCACACCTGCTGGCTTCTGCTCAGTACCCAGAATACACTCCTCTTGGGGAAAGCCTTTCCTGATAACAGATGCTCCCTGAACCTCACCTCCCGCACATGTCTTTGACACTGTTTGGCTGCCTGTCACACCTGTGTGGCTAAGGGCGCCTGAAGGAAGTACTGTAATTGCAGGGTGTCTGTGTGGGTCACTGCTGCGTCATAGAGGAGAGACGCTAGGTATCTAGGAGATAGAGAGGGAGCCAGGGGCCAGCCCTAGAAGCCAGGGAGCGAGTGTGAAGGCTGTTCCGCCGCGTCAGTGAGGCCGAACCGCCCTTGGGAGGAGGGGCCTGGGGTCCAGCTCCCCGCAAGCTTCCCTCGCCTCCCACCGAGGGGCACTGAGCCGACCTAGCGGGAGTCGCAGGGCTCGGTCCAGACGCCTGCGATCCCCAGGATAGCTTCCTCTCGCTTTCTGCAGCGGAGCGGAAGAGGCGGGACGCCGACCAGCAGAAGGTATCCGTGGTCCACCTTCTGCCGCCCCGCTGGAGAACCAGCATCCTTTCTGCGCAGGCGCGCAGCTCGGGCTGAGAGGGGCGGGTCCTGGACGGGTCGGGGGGCGGGGTAAGGCCCTGGGCCCGCCTCCACCAGCTCCTTTGAGCCGCCGAGGGCTAGCACCCCAGCTATTCTAGGGGCTTCAGGTGAGCGGGGGCCACAGAGGGATCAGGAGACCTCCCTCGAGGTCCGGCTTTCGGTCTGTCCGCGGTTCCACCTGTTCTGCTGTCTGCCAACAGCCGCCTCCGCGGGGAATGGGAGAACAAAGGGAGGGGGCGGTTCTGGGGCCCCTGAGGGAATCCAGGGTCCCACGTACCCCTCCCACGTACCCGCTGACACTTTCGGTTTCTCCCCGAGTCAGAGGCGCCGCCCAAGAGAACCTGGGCCGGCGCCGGGCGCAGCTGCCTCTCCGCGTTTGCCTGTCCGTCTTTGTGTCTGTCTCTGTGTCTGTCTGGCTGTCTCCGAGCTTGCCTCCACTTCTAGAATCAACCTTCCCGGCAGCGACATACCCCAAACTCTCGCCCCATCCCCATGGCAGGTAAGTGGGCGCAAGGCTGAGGGTCTCCGTTATCCCCCCACGGACTTGGGATCAGGGTGGCGAACACATCCTCCGGGAATGTGCTCGGACTGGCAGCGTGGGCTCCTCCCTGCCTCCCACGTAGCCGCCGCCCTGTTCCTCCGCCCCATCTTTCTCAGTGCCTTCCCACCCCATCTTCCCCGCAGCCTCGCGCCGCGTGGGCTAAGGGGTAAGGGGGTGAGGCCGCAGGGCGTTTGTAATCTACCCCTGTCCCCCGACTGGCTACTTGCTTCCCAAAGGCTACGCCTCTTCGCCCCCACCTGCCTACCCTGTGACCGCTGGGTACCCGGAGCCAGCCCTGCATCCTGGGCCCGGGCAGGCCCATGTGCCCGCCCCTGCCCCCGGCTTCGTTGTCTTCCCTTCGCCAGGCCCTGGGGCACCCCCGGGACCTGCTGCCCCCTTCTTGCCACTGCCGGGGGTGCCTTCTGGCCTCGAATTCCTGGTGCAGGTGAGTGGGCGGAAAGCAAGGAAGGAGGAGTGACGGGGAGGAGACGTGGGCGTCCAGTCCTGCCAGCTGATGTCGGTGTGGCGCCTACTCTCTTCCCAGATTGATCAGATCTTGATTCACCAGAAGGCTGAGCGAGTGGAAAGTGAGTGAAGGAGAACTGTGGGTCCCCTGAAGGGGGCAAAGAGAGTAGGTTTTGGGGCAGGCACCTGTGCTTGGGCCTCAGTGTGTCACCCCTTGGCAGCACTCCTAGGCTGGGAGATGTGTAACCGGTACGAACTGCGCTCGGGGGCCGGGCAGCTGCTGGGGCAGGCGGCCGAGGAAAGCAACTGCTGCGCACGTCTGTGCTGTGGAGCCCGCCGGCCCCTGCGTGTCCGCGTGGTGGACCCCGGGGACCGAGAGGTGCTGCGCCTGCTCCGCCCCCTCCACTGTGGCTGCAGCTGTTGCCCTTGTGGCCTCCAAGAGGTGGGCGGGGAGGGACGGGCCCCCCGGAGAAGTGCGGGGAGGGGGCAGGCCATAATGGGGAGGATCAGTGATGGGGCAGCATCCAGGATGAGGCTGGCTCCAGTGGGAATGGGATGGGAGAGCTAGTGAGGGGGATGACAGGTGGGCTCGTGAAGGGAATGGGAAGTCCTGTGAGGAGAGACAGGTGACAGAGCTGGACCAGGGAGAGCTTGGGCCTAGGTGTCCCAGCTTGCCGTGACACTTTTTGCCTCCTGGTCCAGATGGAAGTACAATCTCCGCCTGGCATCACCATTGGCCATGTGCTACAGACCTGGCATCCCTTCCTCCCCAAGTTCTCCATCCAGGACGCTGATCGCCATACTGTTCTGCGAGTGGTGGGGCCCTGCTGGACCTGTGGCTGTGGCACAGACACCAACTTTGAGGTATCGGGAATGAGGGGAGATTCCTGGGACTCAACTAAACCAAGACGGCAGCTTTCATGAGGCAGGATGGCCAACAATAAGATCAAGACCCTGAGCTCATCAATCTAAATCTACCATGACTCCTACCACATTTCCAGAAAAAGCATGGCAAAGGATTTCATCTTAAGGACCAATCAGTGCTGATAGTTATCTGCAGCCCTGTGTTGAGGGGGCAAAATCTAGGCCAGGCTTAATTTAGGGTAAAGTGTGATTACTGACTCTGACTTGGGCTGGACCCATGTGGCTACTGTGCATGCGTTTGAACCCAGGTGCTGGAGCAAGCACTAATTTAACGTCCTCTGGCCTGCCCTGCCAACCTGGAAATGCAAATGGCTCCAACCCAGAATCTAGGTGATACCCTTTTCACCATGAATTCCTGTTACCAACTTAGAGCCTGGAGAACCCAAGTGGTGACAGTTTCAGAGTGAGGCCTGGGAAGTAACTTTGTTTCTAGAAAACGAAGGCACTTCACAGACCCTTGAGTTCTTTTAGAGAGAATTACCTGTGCAGATAAGGGACAAACAACAGGTATAATCCAGTAGACTTTCCAAAGCTTCTGATGAGGTGTCTTAACCTAAGGTTACCTTTAAAAATTGAGTCACCTTCAAATGCTGGGCATAGAAGCCACAGGGCATAAATCTGCAAAGAAGTAAAAAGCTAACCTTTTCAAACAATATGGCTTCTCTCTCACTTACCAACTTTACATTTCCCTGTATGGCCCCGGAAGATGACTGGTTAGCCAGAGACGGGTAAGATTCCTCAAGGGAGGAACAACCTAAGACAAGCACAGTCGCAGGGGGGCCATCAGGTGAGAATTTGGGGATCAACAGAGGTGAGGCTCAGAACCTCACCCCCCCTGCTTTGAGAGAAATCTTCTGCATCCGTGGATGTCTTGCTGCCCTTGTCTAGCCTGGATTAATACTTAGTCCATAGGCACACACCTGATCATCTGATCATCTACATTTGCCTTCTTACAGCACTAAACTATGTTTTCTACCTTTATCTTGCATCTACCTACCACTTCAGCATTTTATTAAAAATAAAAATAATAATAATAATAGGAGAAATGTGGGATCAACATATAAATCAAGTACAAAAATCAAATGAATATTCATATTTGACCTGATGGTTTATAGGTCATATTGCATGATCAAAACCGAAAGTTTCTGTGATGAATGCCCTTGTACTGTTCACCATGTAAGAATTTATTCACTATGTAAGAATTCGTTCACCATGTAAGAACTTGTTCATTATGCTTCAGAAGATTGGAGACTGACGAGAATTAGGCTTGAGATAGATTAATGATTGTACACTGAGCATTGACCCCCCTATACTGAATTTTATTGTTGTTAACAACCATTTGATCAATAAATATGAGAGATGCCCTCTCAAAAAAAAAAAATTGAGTCACCTTGGTAGCTGGTGGGGAGTTACTGTGATAGGAACTGGTTGGGAAAGATAACCAGGTGACCTCTGGATGGGAATGTGTAGACTGCAGGATTCTCATAGGGCCAGTCTTCCTTTTACATAATTATGAATGATCCATTTTGGGGCTGCAGTCTTGGGACTATAGCGCCAGATGGGCCTTGCCCAACCTGGGACTGACTTGCAGGAAGTGCCCTAGAGCTGTAGGACAGTGGAGAAGGGGATGGGAAGGGTGAAGAAAGAATCGCTCTAGTTCTACTGGAGAACGAGCACAGGAAAAGGACCAGGGGGACACTGTGCCTTACCACCCATATTGGCAGGGCCTGTTGCTGCTGAACTCAGGGAAGCCAGTGGAAACCATGGTCCTCAGAGGCCACTTACTGTTGTCTCTCACTGCCAATAGATGGGCTTGGATCCTCTCTGGATGAGGCTTGCATGCAATGCTGGACGAGTCCTCCCTACTTTGCTGATTTGAGTAATGGCACCCTTCGGTGCCACAGATACAAACTTCTAGTAGGTTGGCTGACTGGTAGAGGGCAGCCAGGATTTTAGCAGCCTCCCTTGCCCTCTTGACCAAGCTACTTTGTGCAGGACACAAATTGCACCAGCTGTGGATGGCAGGGATTTTGGTAACCAAAACAAAGCTAGCAACCAGCCATACATTAAGGAGATTAGACTATATTTTGCTTCCATTTCTTCCACTACTGATGTTCAGTTATCAAGTATGGCTTTTCAAGAGCAACAGATCTGAGTCTGAATTCTAATTTTTGTTGTATATTCACAGTGTGACCTAGGGTGACTCACTTACCCCAAATGTCACATGGAAACCTAGGGTTGTAGGGAGGGTTCACTAAGGGCAGGGCTGCACTGTTCATACATGGTAACTGTGGACGTGATATTGGAGGCAGGTGAGATCAGCTGCAGCCTCCCAGTTGGGCCTGTCCTTTCTCTCTCCTAACAGGTGAAGACTCCAGATGAATCACGCAGTGTGGGCCGAATCAGCAAGCAGTGGGGTGGGCTGCTCCGAGAAGCTCTCACAGATGCAGATGATTTTGGCCTGCAGTTTCCGCTGGACCTGGATGTCAGGGTGAAGGCTGTGCTGCTGGGAGCCACCTTTCTCATTGTGAGTAGAGAGTCGGCTGCCCCCACTTCCCCTCCTGCTACTTTTGGCTCTTACAGGAGACTGTGCACTTTTTGGCCTCCTGCCAGGAGAGGGTTAGGGACAGACTTTATGGGGGCTTGCAGTTCCAGACCTGGGTTGTGATAGCTGAGCCAGGCCTGCCCAGTCAGATCTGTTGACAGTGCCTTCCCCTTAGGACTACATGTTCTTTGAGAAGCGAGGAGGTGCTGGGCCTTCTGCTATCGCCAGTTAGAGACCGCCTCAAGGAGAAGAGACCATCACCTCAACCAGAATTCAAGATGGTCACCTGCCCTGGCCTAGCCCCTCCTCAGAGGCGCCACCTTCCTCCATGTACATTGCACAGGACAGACAGGGATGCCTCAGAGGCGGCCATGGTGCCCCATCCTTGCCCTAATCCCCTGGCCGCCTCCACCTGTGGCCCACACAGAAGGGTATGAGAGCCCTTCCCCTGCTACCTCCCACCACTGTCTCTGGCAAATGCTCAGCACACAGGTATATCAGCTTTTAAACTTTCCCTACCCACTTCCTTCCACTCCTGCCAGGCAGGGCCTCTGCTCTGAATGAGGCCTTTAGAACCCAGGACTCTGGGGCCTTATGACAGAGCTGAGGCAGGGAGGGGTAAGCAGCACCAAAGATGACAGACATGGCTTCCTTCCCCCCATCAGCTCGGCCAGGCCATGGCACTCCGAGGGGATCCCCCTCCCCACCAACAGGTGTAGGGCCAAGGCCCTAGTGCCAACCTCCTCTCCCCCTTGGGCTATGCCCACAGCCAGTGCCTGCTACAACTTCCTGTGCCTTATTTAACACCCCCTCCAACTGCTTTCTTTCCTTGCCCTAGGAAGGAAGCTCTGTCTTTGTATGTTATATTCATATAAACTTTGTAATTTTTTGGACATTAGAAGATGTATGTGATGGGAGAGGGTAGAAGGAAGTTGGTGTGGGAAGAAACAAAGGGAAATATGACAGCTGGACTGGGCAGGGTCTGGCCCATCTCATAATCCATGCTGCCAGGATCAAATGTCCTTGAGTCCAAGAGAGCATCTTTCATTGCCCATGGCAGCCCTGGGCCAAGCCAAGGCAGCTTGGGCCACATGCCCCAAGTTGCCAGGGCTGCTTCCATCATCCAAGATGGCTGCTCCCATGGAGTATGGCCACATGATGATCCTCTGTCATAAGCAGAAGCTTTCTGTGGGTACAGTGTGTAGTAGCTCTGTTCCTCCTAGTCCTCCTCTTGGTTGGGAATGTCGTGGCAGAGTGAACTAGTATTTCTATGGCCCAGCCAAGGGAGAACAAGAGGCAGGGTAAGAGGAGACAGTGTCTGACCCTGGGCTCCCCCTGGCCATGCCTACAGCAGGATCTCCCCAGTTGGAAAAGTCTGCCCCAATAGGAACATGTTCCAGTTCTGCTTGGTCCCGCATGGCCAGGCCCTTGGTCCATGCCCAAGGTAGAAGAGCTCAGGGCCGGGTCAGGACATAGTGACTGGCAGCTGAGAGGTCCCATTGGTAATGCTCCAGGATGTGCCTACAGTCCGCTCTGGACCGGCTACTCAGGTGGAAGAGCTGGTCGACCTGTGGAGGCAGGAAGGCAGGCAGCTGACAGCCAAAGGGCAAGGGCAGGGGAGGCGGGAACCCAAGAGAAGGGCCTTGCTTTACCTTAAGGTTCCGGATGGCACAAACCACATCTCCCCCAGTGGCCCTTAGTGCTGCCTGGCACTCCTGGTGGGTGACCCCATGCACGCTTAGTTCCACCTGTGGGAACAAAGCCTTGCTTAAGCCACTTCCCCAGCCTGTAGCCCCCACTGGACACCAGGCTACTGCAGAGATACCTCACCTCCATAATCCTCCTCTGCAACTCAGGGTCAGGCAAAAGGCCTCCAGGGAGGACAGTGACTTTACTGGCTCCAGGTGCTCCCAAGGGGTAATTGTGGGGGGGTTCTCTTTTGGGCCATGGGGATTGTTCCTTGGGAGGTTGGCTGGGCTGAGAAGAGCTGGAGGCAAAGGAAGGGCGGGGTGGCAGGCCTGGGGTTCCCTGGGGCACAACTCTGGCATGTCGAAGTTCAGGGGGGCTTGAACCACCCCCTGTGGGGCGTGGGCCCAGGGACAGAATGGATTCCAGACTCTTGGAAATGCCTGTATAGTGGAGAAAGAAACAAATACAGTGGAAACCCAGATGCTAGGCTCTGCCTTCTTGCCATTCTCAGTGCTGTCCTCCGGGTGGTGCTTGTGTTAGGTGGGACAGTAAGACAGAGGTACAGAGCAGACACACAAGCAGAGGCAACTGAGGACCCAAAGAACTGAGACGGCAGGGCAGGACACGGTGTTCAGATGAGCAGATCTGCTGTTCAGGAGGGCAGATCTGGAGGCACGGCTAGGATGTCAATAGGCAGGATGTGGGGGAAGGAAATCATATATGCAGAGGCATGGATTCAGAGCAGGAGCAGATTAGAGGGTTGTCTGACCTCCTTAGAGACCCTGGAGGCCTGGTCCCCACCCCACCACACCCACCTTTCATCCTCTGCAAGGGCACGTTCTTTCTCTGGCCCTGTGCTGAAGGTAGATCCCGGAGAGTTGCCTTTGCTCTGTCCCTGTTGGAGAGTGATACAATTCATTCTCCACCCCCACCCCCTAGCCCACATATCAGCGTCCTCTTCCAAATACACTCTCCGGGGGCCCCAGGCAGGCTGAGACCCACCACAGTGGAAGCTTTAGCTGGGAGGCAAGTCCAGGCTCTTGATTTCACCTGGCCCCTCCCAAAGCTTCCTTCCAGAGAACTTGTCGGACTTGTTTGGTTCTCCCAGCCCAGCCGTGTCTCTGACTCTTTCTGGTCCTTACCCATCTATGCTTCCCAGTTGTTGCTCTCCCTGGGCAGGGGGGCCTCTGTGGACTGGACGGGTGGCTGGTGAACCTCCCAAGTCTGCCAGTGTCACTGCTGAGGCTGGGAAGCTGCCCACTTTGAATGTGCGACCATTCTGGCCCTTCCAGGTTGTGGCACTGGGGCTATGGGAAGAAGGCTGGTGAAGGGATGAGAGCATGGGAAGGGGTGCTGGGCTCTGGCCACATTCAGCCCATAAGCTGTGTGCCATGGAGCTACATTGGCCTGGAGGAAGGGAAACCTTTTTCTCCCTAACACAAAAGGGCTCTAAGGGCTTGTGGTGGCTCCAGTGGGGAGCCCAGGACAGTGGTGGAGAGGAGGGCCATTGGGGAAAGGAGATAAGGCAAAGGATCACGTTTCAAGGAGCTGGGGAGAAGCAGATGGGGAGCAGGGTCATGAGGGTTGGGAGGGAGGCCTCCTCCTGGGGATGTGTGGGATGTAGGAGGCCCTCACCTGCCCTCGATGATCGTGATGGGGTCACCAGGCTCCATCCTCAGAGCACCTGGCTCCGAGACATCCCTCAAACAACGTCCCTCAGGAGGCCAGGCCTGTAGAGGAAAGGGTGGCTGGGCTTGTGGCCTGAGTCAGAACGGTAATACCATGGGAACAGGGAAGAAGGGAGACACCTCTCTGTTTACACACCTATCAATAAAATCCATACAAGGTATGTCCTCTGTCCTAGGCTCGGGTAGAACTGTCCCTGTCCCCTAAATGTAATCCAGCTGGGGACGCAGACCTGGATTCCATGCCAAGCTGGACGCAGCCCAGGAGTCAGGGAACAACAAAGGGGGCCCTGTCTCTGCTTAGGGGGACCAAGGAGAGACACATCCCATACATGGCCTTTACTCCACACCCAGGCACATCATATCTGCCTCCTAAGTGCCTCTGGAAATGTTCCTCTTCTCTGCAGCCCCACCACCTAAACCCTCATCCATACATCTTTACCTTGCTCTGCTTCATGGCCATTGTTGCCTACCTGGTCTTCCCATCTTCAGTATCATCCCTTTAATCTATTCTTGTACCAAGCCAGAGTGGTATAACATGTACAGCTGGCTTGTAACTCCCTTGCTCAAAATTCTTCCCTAGCTCCCAGGTGCCCTTAAAGACTAAACCTCTGTAACAATAGGATATAGTGATTTGGGGCACAGCTCTTAAGTCGGATTGACTGGTTCAAATCCCAACTCCTCCACTTACTGTGTGACTTCAGGTAAGTCACTTAAACTGTCAGTGTCTTAAGGACTCCATCTGTAAAACTGAGATAATGATGACCTCATCAGGTTGTCTCAAGAACTAAATGAGTGAACATGTGTAAGGATACCCATGAAGTGCTTAGAGTACCTTACACAGATCAAGTACTCCGTGGGCTAGCTCTGGGTATTTACCATGCCTTACAAATCCCTCCATGCAGCACCCTTAAGGTGACTCTAGGACTGTCTTTTGTATTTACCCCTTGCACACTGAAATTTTTCTCTGTTGTCAATGCCCCCACCACCACCACAACCTACTGCTCCCACTTCTCTGGCTCAGCCCCAGCCTCCAGCCCTTCAGCCTGCATTTATGTAACCCTAAGATGCCTCCCCAGGTCTCTCAGTGTCCTGTCGGTGGGACCGGTTCAGACCCTAGTCCCAGACCCCAGCCTAGAAGTTGGTATTTGTTACTTAGTCTTGTGCACTGAACCCTGGGAGAGAATGGAGGGAGGAGACACTGAGTGTATCTGGGCAGGCTGGGCCTCCCACCTCTTGGAGCAGCCCCTCCAGGTAGGAAAAGCTAGGCCGGTCAGCAGGATGGGGGGCCCAGCAGCGCAAAGCAAGGGCATAGAGAGCCCTGGAGCAGAGCGGAGGCCTAGGCAGCCGGGCTCCGTCCTTCTCCAGACGCTGCAGGATGAGGTACGGTGGAACCCCGGCCCAGGGCTCCTCGCCCCTGGAGAACATCTCCCACAGCGTCACCCCAAACATCCACACGTCCGAGGCAGAAGAGAAGGCGCCCTGGCGCAGGCTCTCTGGAGCACACCTGCGGAAATGGAGCTGAAGGGAGCCGCAGGTATGCCTCTTGGAGCTCCCGCCTGCCTCTGAGCACGTCCTTTCCGGGCTTCATCATCCTCTGAAGTCCTTTCCCAACCCCTCCAGACCACTCTTGTCCCAGCCTCCCTCGGAGGGCCAGTCCTCTCCGCACAGCCCCTTACCTAGCTGGGGCCCTGCAGGTTAGCCCCAGCTCTCCCTGCGCCCCAAGCCCCTCACCAGGCAAAGGGGATGGGGCGCGGCCCGCCCATGACGTAGCGGCCTCGGGCGCTACCCAGCGGCCGCACCAGCCCGAAGTCCGCCACCTTGATCGTGCGGGGTGAAGCCAGCAGCAGGTTGCGGGTAGCAAGGTCTCGGTGCACCAGCCCGCGGGCCCCCAAGTACGCCATGGCCGCCGCCAACTGCCGCAGGAAGAGGCAGAGCAGGGCCACGGGCAACGGGGTTGTCGGGGCCGGGGCCGTCAGGCGCGCATGCAGGGATCCCAGTGGCGCCAGCTCCATCACCTACAGGAGCACAGCGCCGACTGAGCAGCGGTTCGGCCCCACGGGACTCTGGCCACCCACCTTCCTGTGGCACGTGAGCCCCGCGGCTGCCCTGGGAGCCAGCGTCGCTCCTGCTCACCATCTGCAGGGGCTGGCCCAGTACCAGGCCGTGCAGACGCAGCACGTGTGGGTGCTCCAAGTTCATCATGACGGACACCTCACGCAGGAAGTCCCCCAGCTCTGTGCCCACGGGGCCTTCAGGACCCACCCGGAGGGACTTGACAGCCACTGGGACCTAGGGGTCGAGGTAAACATTCAGGCACCTTAGGAACAGCTCTGCCAGGGCTAAAACAGAGAGGGCAGGCAGAACACAGGGGGCAGTGGCCCTAGTACCCAAAATGAAGTAGACTCCTTGGACACTCACCCCCTTGCCGCTGGGCAGTGTCCACAGCCCACGGTGCACCACACCAAAGCAGCCAGAGCCCAGCAGCTCCCCTCTGCACACAGCACCATCTGGGATCAGACATTTGAGTCCCCTGTCTAGTTCAGGGAGGCACAGAGGGCTGTTGGAGGGTGGGGTGGTCGCCTTCTGCTCAGGCACAAAACCCCCAAGGATCTGAAACAGGGGTGGGCAATCAGGTGTGTGGAATGCTGTATACCCCTCCCTGCCACTCAGCCCACCCCATTCCCTGGCCTAAGCTGGCCCTTAAAGCCTCCCATCTCCACCCCAAAACACACACCCTGTAGACCCAGTTCTTAGACTTCCGCCTAGAATGGTGCCTCTTCAAAGCTTCAGCCAGTCTGCGCTGGGCTAGGGAAAGCCAGAATCAGAGGGCTGATGTGATAAAAATGAGGGTAGGATGCAGAAGATGGCTGGGATGGGGTAGCAACTAAAAGACTGGGGAAGGAGAGAACAGGGCCTCAGGGGTCCCTCACCAGGCCGGCCCATGCCAATGCCATCCAGGTCCTCAGGCCTTACAAAGTCGAAGTGCTCTGGGAGAGTAACATTAAGCTCCTCAAGGATGGGTCGGTAAAACTGGGCCAGCTGAGTGTCCTGGAGCAGCCGCAGCAGCCACGGGGAGCCCGCCTCGGGGAGCATGTCTGGGGAAAAAACCCTAAGGATGATTCCCTTTCCTCCCGACACACGCCCAGGGTAGGCACCTGAGACACTCAGACACCAGAGATGTGGTCGCCAGTTCCACCCTCATCCCATCAGAAGCACTCAGATACAGAGGGAGGAGCACATCAGAGGCAGCCAGGAATCCTGCCACTCATACACACAAGTCCCAGGAAGAGTGCTTCCCATCCTCGAGACCTACACATCATACCTCCTTCATCACTGAGAAACCTGCCCTCGTCACACTTGAGGTTTTAGTACTCTGCAAACTTCAAGTGTGTCACCCTGCTCACTCTTTAGACATTACGGTACACTGCCCCATCCACCTAGGGCACCCTGATACACTGCCCTTTTGACCTGAGGCACACCAGTACACACACACTCACTCACATACACCTGAGACACCTCCCCTTCTCATACATGAGACATTTTGGTCTATCAGAGATGCCCAGAGACACTAACCACACCGTCCCTCAGACAAGCAGGTACAAACACACACAAAGGTACACTGCCTCCCACACCCAGATACGCTACTGCACACACATGCACCAAGACCAACAGATAGGCTGCAAAAGATGCCCGAGACACCCAGATTCACATCCTCTCAATCTGAGACATTCCAGTATGCTGCCGTGAAACACCCAGGCTTACTGCCACATACCTTCTCACAAACATGTATTTGAGACATGGCAGTGCACTGCCTCCAAAATACACTGCCCCACATGTCTGAGACACCAAGGTCCACATAAACACACACAAGACAGCAAGGTACAGTGTCATGTACCTGAGTTATGCAAGCATACAGCCCCCTCAGCCCAGAGACACCCGGCGTCATTGCCTCTTCTACACCCCAGGCATTTGTGATTGGCAGTTAAGTGCGGGGCCAGCCGAGCTCAGGTGTAAGCTAAGCGCAGAGCCACCTAGGTGCACAGTCCCTTCCACACCCACCTGAGCTCAGCTCTGGATAGAGCCCTGACGGCACACCGGGGTCACTCAGTCCAATGTGGCTTTAAGGCAGCTCCACCGATCTTCATTAAACAAGGCTCTGGGTGCTCGGGTGCTGGTTGCCTGCACACACTCTCCCTTACTCATATCTGGACCCCTCCCTCCTCCACTTTAGGCAAGCCGGGAGGAAGGGAGGATCCCAGGCTGGGCCCAGATGGAAACCCGGAAAAGGGCCAGGAATTGGGAGTGAGTGGGAACGAGGAAGGAGAAAGCCCAGGACCCAGGGGCCCCCAGATCGCTGGCAAGGTGGGAATGGGAAAGCAAGGGACAGGGGACAGGAGGGAAAGCGGCCTCGCAGGGGAAGAACCAGGGGAGGGGAAGCGGGCAAGCTCAGCACCCGCGTGGGCACCCCAAGCGACAGCTGCTCCGCCAGCCCCAGCAGCCCTCTTTTCTGACCCTCACCTGGCGAAGGCGGAAGCGGCAGCTACGGAGCGGCCGGGGCGGCCAGGCCAGGACTAAATCCAGAGAAGGGCGGGACCGGAGGCCCCGGAGGGCGGGACCTGGCAGCCGGCCCGGGACTGGCCTGTGCGGGTGGCCCGCAGTCCCCAGAGGGGACCAGGTGGGGGCTGCGAGCGCGGCTGGCGGCCCTCCTTTCCTCTGCGCTTTGCTCTCCTCTCCCCCCCATCCTTTCTCCACCTTCACACTCTCTTTCCAGCCTACTCCAAAGAACTCTTCCCCCGCCCCAGACGCCCTTCTCTGTGTCCTGCCCCCCCCCCACCGTGACCTCTCACCAAATCCTCCATCTCTCAACCAGAGCCCCACCCCTTAAATGAATAACCTGATGGAGATGTTGTGGATGTTAGAAAAGAGTATAAAACCTAAATGTGATTTACTCCTATTAGGATGTTTAAACATTTTAACAGTAAGGTATTAACAAAGGGCCACGTGGTGGAAGCTACTTGGGCCGAGAGTGGGGGTGGGAGTGGGGGAATTGATAAGGGCCTGGCAATACCTGTTTGAGTTTTTTGAACCTACCAATAAAATTAAGACATGTAAAGGAAAGATATAACTGGCTTAGGCGACGTCCGGGAAAGAATGTGAACCCTGTACCACCAGGGGAGGGACTCGCGCACTAGGAGATAAATTATTGGCGCCAAACTCCCCAGGTGTGCCTGCCCACCAGACACCCGATCTTGCAAGATCGTCATTAAAGCCTCGCTCCGTTGTTCTCTTTGTCTCCGTGTCCACTTACTGAATTTGGACCAGTGAGTGTGTTTCTCACAGTGGATAAAATGAAAGTTCCTGTGGTCAGGATTCTCACCTGGCCCTGGTTGGCTCCCTCACTACACAAGTTTGGGCAATATGCTATCGACTCTATATAAAGAGCTCCGCCCAGTGATCTGGGTGACACGGTGGCACAGCTGCAAGGCTGCAGGAGAGCAGAGGATGGAGTGGTGGCAGCGCCGAGGACAGAGGCCCAGAGGACGGCTGTGCGGGCAGAGAGGCCCAGAGGCAGAGACTGGCTTGCTGCATGCAGACTTGCTCTGAGTTGACAGGATTTTAGTGATTAATCTGCCACCGTGAAAATAAAGTTGGGTATAACTCTTTCACCCCAAGAACGTTCTATTGTCATTTCTTTGGTCACATTGAATCCATAGTGAACTTGCACTTGCCCGGGCCTGCAACCCATTGGCAAAGACAGGTGTCCTGCTGTGGCATGGGGAATATAAGGCTTAACGGGACCCAGTCCCTGCCCCCTAGTAGGGGAGAGAGCTTCCTGGAGCACCCTTCCCAGACTCTCTAGTGGAGGAAGGCAGGATGGTGCCTTTGGAAAGCAGCCAGGCAGAGAGGTGTTGATGGTGGTGCAGAAGTCAGCCCCCAGCCTAGAGAGAGTCCAAGACCCAAACCAGCGTCCTTTTCCAAGCTCTGAACTCTGGTCCAATGTGCTACCCCTGAAAAGGATCTTTTGAGGAGCTTCCCAGGGTAGAACATGGTAGGTCTTGTGTGTGATTGTTTTTTTTGGGGGGGGGGTTGACAGAGCCCTGATTTGCTCCTCAGCCCCATCCCAAGCCTGGTCTCCTCAGGGCAACCCCCAACCCCCATTCACTGACACTTCCTGGCCTCATTCTGGCATAACATCCCTCTCCCATGTAGCCTTTGCTGACCCCAGAGCTCTGTACACTGCTACTTGGTCTGTGGCATCCGGGACTTTTAAGGACCTTGAAGAAGGCTCAGAGGAGGAGCCTACACTGTCCCTTTTCCTCAGGGGTCCCAGAGAGGAAGCCACCTGTCTTAGGACATCTGGCCTGTCCCCTTCTGCCCTAAGGAAGAATGTGTGAGCGTAGCAGTTGCTGTCCCTAGAATCCCTTGGAGGGAAAAGCCCACCCCATCTTGGTAAACACATAGTATATTCCAGCATTGAGGGGAAAATCTCCATAGTTCACAGTTCTTCCTGTGTGGTTTTCTTGCCAAGTCTCTTGTCTCCAGGCCAGTTCATCACTGTAATTGTTTCCCACATCTGTTGTCTGTGATACACTGTGGGCTCCACACAGTAGGGACTGGAGCCATCTTGTTCATCCTTGTGTTCTTAGTATCTGGGACAGTGTAGGCATAGGTGCAATATTGGTTGTGAAGAAGTCTGGCCAGTCTGTCATTCATTCCCTTGTAGGTGATTTGTTTTTTACCCCCTGCTTTTAAGATATCATTGGTATTTTGTAGTTCTATTACAAAGTATATAGGTATGGATTCCTTTTATTTATTCTCAGTGTGTTTTATTTCCTCTGTCTATAAATCTGCATCTTTCATCCCTTTTGGAAAATTCTCAGCTAGTATAGTATCTCTTCAAATATTCTTTTACCTCCTGTCTTCGTGTTCTTTCTTTTGGGGACTCTGATTAGAAGTATGCTGAACCTTTTCACTCTGTCCTCCATGTCTTTTAACCTCTCTTCCCTATTTTCCATTCTTTGTGTCTTTATGATGCAAAACAACGTCCTCAGCTCTATCTTCCAATCCTCTCTTTGGTTATGTCTAGTTATGTCTTCTTAATCCATACACTAAGGGTTTTTGTCATTGCTATATTCATGTGAACATTATGCTTTCTATGCTAACTACTTTATTGAAGTATAACTTATATTCACTAACATGTACAGACTTAACTGTACAGCTCAATGCATTTCAACAAAGGTACACATCCTTAATGTAGATAAAGACCTAGACATTCCTACAGTCCCAGAAAGTTGCCTTGTGCCCATCTTCAGTCAATCCTATTCCCCAGAAGCAACTACTAATCTGATTTCTAACAACTGTAGATCACGTTTGCCTGCTCTTGACCTTATCAGTGGAGTCACACAATATTTATTATATATGTTTGGTTTATTTCACTCAACATGTTTTTGAGATTCATCTTGGTGTTGTCCAGGGTTTTTTTTGGCGAGAAACACAATGGCTCCATGAGTTTCTTCAGGGAAGAGAACATGAAACCTGATTTTCCTCTGAATGTCCAGTTGTCCTGACTGATCTGGGTGTACTAGAGGTCCTCTGGGAATTGAAGGAACACATAGGTGTAGAGCACATGGGGAGATATGAAGGCAGATGCATCCAGAGAGGTTGACAGAAGCCACACTAGGCATCGTTCATCCTTCCAGCAAACTCTGTGCCAGGTGCTGGGGACCCGGGTGAATAGGCAGACATTATCCCTCCTGGTTGGATTCATTCTACTCAGTCCAGAGCTTGGGCTTTACCTGAGGGCTCGTAACCACTGAAAGGTTTTAAAAAACCCTGCTGTAGTAAGAGGCTGGGAAAAGGCAAGAGAGGAAAGGCAGGAAGCCCAGGGCAGTGGCTATTACCATTGGTTCGGGGGAGGGAGGCTGCACTTAAACCTGGAAGCCCAGATCGGGCACCACACCCCTTTCCACAACCTCTGTTCTGCCCTGCAGGTCTGGTGTCCGAGAAGGATGAGCACATCACACTACTGGGGCCTAGTCTTTCCCCACAGGGCAGAGAACTAGGAGGATAAGCAGAGAGAGCACCCAGGGGCCTCCTCCCTGACTGCCTCGGGTTTGGGTGGGGCTGGATCCCGTCCCTTTGCAGAGACCTTTTCATTCCTATGGGGAACCACATTAGTGCCCCTGGCTCCCCCTTTTCTGCTCTGATCCCTGAGATCACCGGGCACTCCACCTTTCCCCTAAAACACGCCAGCATCTCATTAGAGGAAAGTTACTTCTGTGTTCTGGCTCTCTCTTCTGAGCCTTTGCACAGCTGTTCCCTCTGCTTGGAAGCTTCCCATCCTTGTTCCAATCTGGCCTTGCTAAGTGCACCCAGCTTACTAACTGGTCAGGTCTCTTCCCTCGCATCCCAGATGCCTGTGCTTTCCCATCATTGTACTCATTGCTCTGGTCAAATTTGTCAGTAACTTGTCAGTCTTCCCTGCTAAATTCCAAGCTAGATTCTAAGCTCCAAGTAGAACAGAACTTTATATATTGCCTTGGCGTCACTGTGTACACCATACCCAGTCTAGTACCTGGCTCATGTGGTAAGTGCTCAATCGATAAGCCCACTTGTTGAATAAATGGATGAGACAGAGTCATCTGGGTAGAGTGAAGCAACGGAGATTTTTGACATCAAGAGCTTCCTTTGCAGGGAGTGATGGGGAGGGGAGTTACCAAACCTAACCCATAAGCATTCTTCTGGTGAAACCATTCCTGCCCCCTCCCTGTTTGGCACTTCCTGGCTCCACATGGGTAGCTCTTTGCAGACCCTTAGATAAAACCCTCCTGTTCCATCACTCCATCTCCCAGGACCCTGAGGGTCCCATCCTTTTCCAATTTGCATTTACCTCACTAGTTTTTAGCATCACCAGCCACCTCCTTATATGCTTCTGTTGGTTTGCTTTCCAGAGTGGAAGCACAGTTATACCTGCCACATCCCTTCAGGATCACAGTGGAGCCGAGGGTCTCTGTGACACGGTAGCTTAGGCTCCACCTCGGAAGCTTGATCGCCTGAGTTTGAATTCCAGCTTATCACTTACCATCCTGTGATTCTGAGCAAGTTGATTCACATTCCTGTGCTTCTGTTTCCTCTCCTTCATAATGAGCGTATTAGGATTATTTGCCCTGTAGGACCATGGGAGAATTAACTGTGTGGACATATGTGGTAGCCGGTCTCCAAAATGGCCACCAATGAGCTGCCCTTCAGCTATGAATTCTGTTGTATGGTGCCTTCCCACTAAGACTAGGACTTGTCTGATTCATTAATAGGATGTTGTGGACAGGATGTATGACTTCCATGCTAGGTCAGAAAAGGCAGTGTGGCTTCTGCCTTGCTCACTTAGATTCCTCACTTTGGGGGAAGCCAGCCACCATCTCATGAGGACACCCAAGCTGTCCTGTATAGAGGCTTTCCATGTTGAGGAACTGAGACCTCCTGCCAACAGCCCAGAACCAATTTGCCAGGTATGTGAGTGAGCCACCTTGGCAGTTGATCCTCCAGCCCCAGTCTAACCTTATATTTCTGCAGCCCTAACTGACAGCTTGATTGTACCCTCATGAGAAACTGTGAGCCAGACTCACCCAGTTAAGCTGCTCCTGAATTTCTGATCCATAGAACTGTGAGTTACTGTTTATTACTTTTGATAACTGAGTTTTGGCATAATTTGTTATAAGCTATAGATAATTAATACAACCGATAAAATGCTTGAAGTGTTGTCTGACACATAGGCTCCATGTATTAGTCATCAGTAATTCCATGAGGCTCAGGCTAATAAAGTGATGTTCCTCATGCACATAACTAGGAAGTGGCAGGTCCAGCTGTGTGGTGGCCTTTAGTGCCAACTCCTAGGCTGCTTTTTCTGCCCCACTGTTCCAGTTATCTAGTGTTGAATAATAATACCTAGTGGTATAAAACAACCATTTTATTATGCTTCTGGACCTTGAGAATCTGAAATTCCAATGTGGATGTTTATTCTCTGCTCTACCATGTCTGGAGCCTTAGTTGGAAAATCTGAAAGTCTGGAGGAGACAGGGACACCTTGGGTGTATTATCACTCACATGTCTGGCAGTAGATGCTGGCTTTTGGCCGAACCCCTCCATGTGAACTCCTCCTATAGCCTGGGAGTCCTCATAGCATAGTGACTGGGTTTCAGAACAAGTGACCCAAGAAACAGAGAGCAGAAGTTGCCAGTTTCCTTGAGGCCTGGGCCCAGAAAGTAACCCAGTGTTACTTCTGTCGCATTCATTCATCAGCCAGTCATGGGTCCCAAATTTAAAGGAGGGATACATAAGCCCTAAATCTTGATAGGAGGCATGTCAAAGAATTTGGAGGCTATTGTTAAAAACTGCCACACCCACAGCAGCCTAGTATTTGGTGAGGGGCTCAGAAAAACCAGCCCGGTCCTGGCAGCCCACACACTGGTGGGCTGGCCTTATGTGCACAAAAAACAAACCCTACCAGCCTTCGGTGCTATGTGATCATGAGGCTCTTATGTGCGGAGTACATATCACAAGGGCTCAGACAGTGGCTGGCACTGTCAGTGATGCTTCCTATTGTATCCCATGTGCCAGGCACTGGGGAAACAAAGACACAAAACCTTAGCTAGTGGCTTTCCAGGGTAGTGCATGGAGGGAAGATGTGTAAAGAACCACCACCTGATATAACAGATGCCACATGAGAGAGCCCCAGAGAGGAGACACTGTACTCTGCCTTAGGGGCTCAGAGAACTTCTCAGAAGAGGTGATGTTTGAGCCAAAGGAGAAGGGAATCCCAGGTATAGAACAAGCCTGGACAGAGGCAAGGGGACATGAGAAAACAAAGCATTTGGGCAGCTTCAAGTGATTCACTGTGGCCGTGGGCTGGGCAGAGCTGGGAGACAGCTCCACGGAGGGACACGTGGGGCCAGATTCCAAGAAGTATTACAGAGGTAGGTTGCCTGCTGATGAGAAGTGGGCATGTGGTGTGAGAGGAAGAGGATGTCCTGATACTGTTGGCCCTGCCATTAAACCTGAGTGAGATTGCAAGAGGGGGTGGGGTCAGGGAGGAAGGTGGGTTTGGACGAGCAGAGCCTGAGATGCCAATGGGACATTCAATGGGAGATTCCAGTTATATCTGTGTTTGGACAGCTCTGGCCTGAGGACCAAAAAAGAGGGAGCTGCTGCTGGAGAGCCTTGACTGCCAGGGTCAAGGATCAGATCTATATTCTGTAGGCAAGGAAGAGCTAGAGAAGGGTTTTAACTAAGAGATTATAATGGCTAATACTTAATGAGGGTCTGTTACATGTTGGGCATGGTCCCAAGCATTTTACATGAACTTATTTGGACCTCACACTAGTCCTGTAAGGTATGTACTGCTGCATTTCATTGATTTTGAGATATCATCAATTGTAATATATACCATTATGTCCTGACATATCTTCAATTTAAGATGATTTCTCCAGAGATGTTAAAATATAAACAAGTTAAGAAAAGGCCATACAATCAATAAAGTACATGATCTTCATTTAAAATATAAGGAAACAGGAACAAAGAAGTTAAATAACTTGCCCAAGGTCCAGTAAGAGACAGAGCCAGAACCTGACATCAGGCAGCCCAACTCCAAATCCCAAAATCTTAACCATCATTTGGTGCTGGGCAGGAGGTTGTGAGCAATGAGGAGTTTTAAGAAAACCACAGTGTGGGTGCTGGGAGTGCAGTGGACTAGAGGGGAGTGGGCAGAGTCAGATGGCACTTCTGGGAGCCTGGGGTCCACAGTGAGGGGGTTCTAAAGTGAGTCGGGGGCCAAGGACAGGAAGGGGGGCAGATAGGACAGAGAACCTTCAAGAATGCTGGCTGACCCTCCTCCGCATGTTGGCTGTGAAAACAAGGGCAGCTCCAAACTGTTGAGCCTGGAGAGCGGCTGTAGCATAGGGGAGCCCAAGGCAGCAACTGCAGCCTGGGGGAAAGCTGGGGTACCTGGGTGGCCAGATGTAGCTCCTTACCCCAGCATGGGCAGTAATACTACCTGGCACCTGAAGGATACTCACTAAGTATCTGTCAAATGAATGGATGAATAAGCTGTTGTATGATCTCTCATTTTTTTTTTTGGTGTGAAATGAAGAGATTGGGCTAGATTGTGTAAAACAAATGAAAGGTACTCTCATGGAAGGGATAGATATTCCTCTCCCCAGCCTCAGGACTTTGTAAGGGGTACCCCAAAACAGTAGTTCTAACCCTGGCTGGCTCTAAGTTAGAATAACAGAGGTCCCATATGAGACTGCTAAATTCCGACTCTGGAGATGAGACCCAGGGAGGGTAGTTTAAAGCTGCTCAGGTGACTCTGACATGTAGCTGGTTGAGAACCCTTGTTGTGGAGCCTCCAGTTACCCTGTTTGAAAACCGCTGGGCTAGGTAAGGGCCTGGATCCCTCCCTCCCTGACTTAGGCTTGTGGTTGATGACAAGTATCTCTTTTCATGTCCCATCTCCCATCCCCAAACCCAGAAATCCCAACAGCCAGGTGACTGACTGAATACCAGTGTTTCTCAACCACACACTACAGACATTTTGGACAGGACGATGACTCTCTCGTGCCTTTTAGGGTGTTTAGTAGCATCCCTGGTCTCTACCCATGAGGTACCAATAGCATATCCTCCAATCAAAGCTATCAAAAATGTCTCCAGACATTGCCGAATGTCTCCTGCGGAGCAGAACACCTTCCCCCTGCCCCAGGAACCACCGTGTGACACTGAGTCTCCTGTCATCCCTCTCCCCTCCCCAAGTGCAGACAGAGGCCAGACTGGGGTGGAAGCTGTTTGACAGCAGGTTTAGTTGGGCCTGGCAGGAGGGAGGCCTCTGTGGGAGGCCAAGGCTTTACAATGTTCACAATATTAAATGGAGGGATCACATGCCAGCAGGCTGACTGATGAGGTCTCTGTTCTGGAGGAAGGGAGTTTTCCAGAACACTCATTTCCAGATTCCCAGTCAGTTGTAAGAGGGCCAAGAGTAGCTTCTGGGGCAGACAGCCCCCACCTCCTGGGAACAGGCAGAAGGGGCTGTGGAAGTGGGGTGTGCGTGAAGAGTGTTCTTTGCTTCTGGAGATATTTTCCTGGCCTCAGTGACTGCCTGTCTGATAGGTTGAGCACTGGAGAGGAGGAACTTCCCAGCTGTGGGTGCCTGGGTCTTAGAGGCCATCTGGGATCATGGGATCTGGGTTTCAGAGTTTGGAAGACTAAACTTGTGGGGCTGGAACTAATGGGCTGGCTGGTTCTTCACCAAGGGAAGTAGAAGTTGTGGGTATATATTCCTTAGAGCTGGAAGCTGGGAGGCTGTCAGCATCTGCACAAGTCACTCTTTTGCTTTGATGTAGTTGGACCTGTGGGAAGACAGACAGGATGGGAGGTCTGGGAAGGGAAGGGGGCTGGGAGGGAAGGAGGAAAGACAGGCAGTGGAAGGTACTGGGTGGTTTGGAAGTGGTGAGGCTGTTTCCTGCCCTTATGCCCCAACTCACTCCACCACGAGGCTCAGAACACCTGTGAGCAGGACAGTGCCCAAGACACAGAGGAGGAAAATCCTGGCTTCCCAAAGATCATGACTCCCTGCAGGGAACCCAGGAGGCAGTGAATGATCTTGGGGACCACACCAGTCGATGCTGGGGGTGAGATCTAGGCGGGTGACACAGGGGTGGAAAGTGGAGCAAGGACCTGGGAAACAGCGCTTTCGGGGCCAACAGTACACCTCAGTGCCCTCGCAGGTGGAGCAGTTGTACAGGATGGTGCTGCCCCCTGCAGGAGACGGTGGATCAGAGCTTTGGAGGGGCAGGCCCTGCTCCACAGCTCCACGTACCCCACTTCCTCCTTGTTACCTGCCAGGCTCCCCTCAGGTACCCTGGAAACCCCTGCCCTCATTACACTTTTCTACTCACGGCAGGCAGGAGCGCAAAGAGCTGAAATGAGAAGGGAGTGTGGGGGGAGATAGCTGCTCAGCCACACATACCCTTGCCCGAGATCCTTGGTACCCCTTGATCACTCCCCACAGCAGTACCTTCCCTGATGTACTCTGGGAGCTTGGTCTTTTGAAGCCATTGCCAATATGAAGGGAGCAAGGAGAAAGTCCCTTTGATCTCTGGAGAGGCAGAGAACAGCTATGTGGCCCAGAGCCTCAACAGTGCAGTTCAGCTCCACACCCCGTCCCCCATGACAGTCCGGACCAGCCCTCCTGTCTCCACCTGCCCCCCACCCTTTCCTGCTCCCCCATCTCACTGCTGTCCACCCAAGCCCTTAGGCTGTGTCTCTCCCCTTGACCTCACCCATGATCCTCAGGACTCTGTGAGTCTTCTCTGTGATTTTGTTCATGGTCACTTCATCTGTGGAGACGGACAATGACCAGTGAATCCCTCATTAGCCCAGAACAAGATTCTGGAGTCTTTCCTGACTTTCCTGGGGTCAGAAGCAGCTCTCCCAGAGGGAGAGACCAGTGAGTCCAGACAAGGCTGTTGACTGAGCTGAGGGGCACAGCTGAGAAGCCACATGCTGCCCCACTTGGGACACGAGGGGTGACCATTGCTGGGCCTGTCCTTGGATGTCTGGTCTTACCTAAGGCGAAGGCTGAGAAGTTCCAGGAGGCCTCACAGTCCTTCCAATGGACCTCCATCTGGCTGCAGAGCTGAGCCACGCGGCCCAGCAAGTTGCGATCTGGAAGGCGGCAGAAGACACAGGCCTGGGCAGCTGCCAGGAAAACTCCACCTAGTGCCAGCATCCACAAGAGGCCCATTGTGGGGGTGTGGTGTGGGATTGGTCCCACCAAGCCTGAGAAGGCCTCAAAATACTCTGTGATCCTGGTGCCAGACCTTTGCCTGAAGATTCTAGAGTGTTCTGGAACAGTAGGGGGTTCTAGAATATTCCAGAGCAGTGCCACTGCTCCATCCCTGGCTTGGGTAAAGCTGGGGCACAAGGAACTGGGGACCAAAAGACATCTCCAGGGGGAGATCAGCAAACAAACCAAGACTTGTGCTGCCAGGAGAATAGCACCCCCAACTTGGCTCTCAGCAGATTTTACAAGTTTGTGGTTCCAAAAGCAATTTTATTTTTCTTGTAAATCATGACCAGTGATAATGAGTTACACCGCCAGTGAAGAAGTTGCACGTTGAATATCCCTCAGGGACCCAGAAATCCCATGCCTTCCCATATTCTCCCCCTCTCTCCCAATCTCTCCTCTGCCCTGGGCAGCCTTGGACCTTCCCCAACTGTCTCCTAGCAACAGGCCCCATGATTGCCATAGCAACTAAGAGTTCTAACCAGACCTCCATGGCCCTACTAAGCCCACTGACTTCTCTTACCTCTCACCAAGAAGATCCTAGTGACTCAAACTCCAACAGGTCTCTCCTGCCTACGTGGTGATGTGAACGCACATGGGTGCACACACACACCCCTTGTGATTCAACTACTAATTCTCAATCTACTCACATCTGTACCACAGACATACCCGGTGCCAAACAGCTGCTGAGCAACCCCAAACAGGCATGGACATGCAGAAACCACAGAACAACCAACACACAGACACCATCTTCAGCAACACAGATGGGAGCCAGGATGTCAGGTACCTACACGTCAATCAGACACACTGGCTGACACACACCTACACATAAAGGAAGTAAGGTCAATGCCCAAGAAGATGCTATCCACCTCCCCATGGCCAGCTCCACCATCAGTCTGGGATCCTTTAAAACACTTGAACTACAGACAGATATTCCAGCCCCATAGTAAATGGGAATTCTCTTAGCTCCCTTATGTCAACCTAGGGTGGGGTGTAACCTTTCTGTCTCACTCAATAGGTAGCTTGGGACACAGCAAAGAATCACCCTTCCCAGGTACCAAAGTTTTCTGGCTTCTCATTGGTTAGTCCAGGCCAGGTCACCCAGGTCCAGAAGGAGAAACCACAGTACAGGAGACCACATTAGAGCAATCCCAAGTCCCTGTTTCTCCAAGACCTCAGTGTCCCTCTAAGGCTAGGCCGACCCTGGGCAGAGAGGTAATCCAACTTGTCCAGACTCCTGAATACTGAGCGCCCTCCAAGGACACATTGGTGGTCCCCAGCGTCAGGTAAGAACAAGCCAGGGGAAACTTCCCTGTCCTTCTCAGGATTAGCACTAGTCCAGAACCTTTACATCACTCGTGAGCCCTCAGTGGGTAAAGATTTGGGGATTCCTGTCCACATCGGGGCTCCAGTCAGGTTCAGTGGGTCCCCTGACTCTCACAGCTCCAGAGGCAGAGCTAGGAAGGGGCTTTAGGGGAGCTTTCATCCCCCTTGCTGCCCATTCTCTCCCCTGCCACACACAGTCAAACTGAGGGCAGTGTTTTCAGTTCTCAGTGCCGCACAAAGCGCAGAGAGCGTGAGTTGAGCAAGTCTTCAGGGTCAGGGAAGACAGAGTCTAGACGGAAGCCGTGTTCAAGAGCCACCCGTAGCACCTCCTCCAGGAAGCCTGGCGTGCCCACCACCTCCCGGAGCGCTCCTGGCCCCCCAGTCCACAGTGGTTGCAGGCCCAGTCTCCTATACTCCACTTCGGGGAGTTCTGCAGGACAGGGGGCCCACTCCAGACGGAAGTGTGGGCCTCCCTCTGCCCTGTTCTCATTCGCCACTCCAAATCGGGCCCGCATGGCACCCAAACACTCGGGGTCAGTGCAGAAGAGGTTGGCTCGGAAGATATCCACCTGGACAGAGCTCAGCTCATAGTGGTGTGGGCCCCGGCGAGCAGAGAAGTGCACCAGGCGGGGGCTGGCATCTATATCTGCGTGGAGCAGGGCAGCTGTAGGTACAGGGGACCTCCGAGAGGCTTCCAGTTCCTGCAGGGCATCCAGGAGGGGCTGGATCTGGTAGAAGTCTGCCTCTGCCCTGAGGAGTGCTGTCTCCCCATACCCTCGGGGCAGGTCCAGGCGGCCCAGCCTGAGGAAATTGAGGACATGCCGGAAAGCCTTGCCATCTCGGTCGATGAAGTAGTGGCCACCTCCCTGGGAGTTGAGGTTGGGAGGCATGGGTGTGCCAGCCCTAAACATGGCCCCCAGCATGGAGTCTGGGAAGCGAGTCAGGGTCTCCAAAGTGGTGGAATATAGCGTGCCCCCCACATTCAGGGTCACGGGGCCCCCAAAGGAGGGGGGCGAAGAGGGCACAGGAGGAGGGGAAATTTTGCGGGGTACAGGAGACACCGAAAGAGAAGAAAAGGCAGAACTTCCTGGGTATGTGCAAAATTTAGTCCTAAGGTTCAGATTCTCTCTGGGTTGGAGGCACGGGTTGGAGTACAAGGCAGCGAGATTTAGGGCTCACCCAGCTGCTTTGGTAGTGAAGAATGCCTTCCGGGCACAGAAACGCCCGAAAAGATGAGAGAACGAATAAAAAGAACAGAGGAAGCCAGAAAGGCAAGGGCGATTTCGGTCCAGACGCTTCAAATTCTGGGTGGTCAGCGATTCCTTCTCCGTCGTCTTCAATGGGTTTCCGGAATCCAACCAGCAGGTGACGATGGCGAGCACAGGGCCGTCTCTTTACAGGACCCAGCTTCCGAGTTCTCAGGTAGATCGCTGTCGCCGTGGGCGAGTCCACGCACGGCGCCGGGGGCGAGTCAGAGGCCTGGCCAGGCCTGGCTCCGGCGCGGGTCCTAGGAGATGGAGACTGGGCCGATTGGAGTTGATGGCGGAGGTGCCTCTGATCAGCTGGGGAGCGAGGATGCACACTCAGTCCGAGCTGGGAGTGTCTGGGGACGCTGATGGAAGCAGCAGGGAGTCTCAGGACCCAGACGCCGCCGCCTTCCCCGGGCGTCGCTGCAGCTGCGAGGTCCTCTCCGCCCCCAGGAAGTGGCCTAAGGGCAGCGGCCGGGGTCCCTTTAAGAGGCAGCCCCGCCCCCTTGGCGCCCCACCCCCCCGCCCTCGCCTGGCTCGCGGGGCTGGGTTGGAGGTGGGAGAGCCAGGTCTCTTCAACCGGAGAGACGGGGCGGACGGGCTGGACTGGCGGGCGCGAGCTGGGGTGGAGTCCGGAGAGTGACTCAGGCGCGTTGCCAAGGATGTAGCCGTGACGGCCCCGTGGGCCCTCAGGTGTGCCTGACCTCACGTCTGCAACTCTGCGGGGGCCTAGTCTCCAATCCCAGCCCTCTTGAGAAAATCGAGGCCCAGCCGTCCCGTGCTTGAGGACCATTTCCCTCCCAGTCGCTCCGGTAGGGAATTCCCGAAGGGGCGGGTGCTGAACCGCCGCATTCCAGACATGCCTCCAGTTCTCTGCATCCCTTCCCCTAAGGCAAGGCCGGCCCCCAGCCCACGCTAGCGGCCTCTCCCCGGCCTGACGGGTCTGGCCACGTCGCCTGACCCGAGAGCCCCTCCCCAGGGCCACCCGGTGCTAGGACTGGGACCGGAGCTCCATTTCATTAGCCGGGAGGCGCCCCTTGCTGGACCAGAGGTCGCTAACTCCCAACCGCTCCTGCACCCTGGGAGCCGCAGGGCCCCACACCTTGCTGGGTCCGAAGGTGGCGCCCAATAAATGAACCACGAAGGGAAAAGCAAAGCACAGAGGCTTTAATGGCGCAGGGACCAACGGGGGGACGGGACCGCGAAGGTATGGGGTCAGAGTGTGTGGAGGTCATGACTACTCCGTTTCAGTTTTTCCGGGTCGTCCGATGCCATGAGGGAGAAGTCTCGGAAGATGTCAAGATACGTCTCGTCTCCTGAGGGGAGAGAGGAAGGGCTAGGAGGCTGGACGATTGGGCCCAGGCACGGAGGAGCTCGTAGGGACTGTCGGGGCCCGGCCTGGAGAGAGTGCAGGCTTCGCGGGTGGGCGGAGGGACTGCAGAGCCGTCAGGGCCGAGCCCTCAATTATTCTGTGCCCTGTTCCCAGGGCCTGCAGTGTCGAATGCGCCCAATACATATTTGTTGGATAGATAATAGAATTCATGAAGCTGCTCTCGAGGAGGGACGGGTCATTAGGGGCCAGAAGCCCAGAATTCCAATGTTGGGCGGGGGGTGGGGTGCGGAGTTCTTTACCTGCCTGACCCTGGGCCGCTTCAGCCTCTCTCATCTTTGCCAATCGTAACCTTGAGGGGGAAGGAATTGAGGAATGAATGACATTCTCTTCACTCTTCCCACCCCAACTTCCCAGCTTTTGAGTTGGGTTGTCTTATTCATCTGTTTCCTCAGTCTAGTGCTTAAAAGATGCTTGACAACAATGATGCCCCTCAGGACAAAGTCCCCATCCTTGGATCCTACCCACCCACTTCCTACTCCACGTCCCAGTCAACACTTGGAATACCCTTTTTCTCGTCAGGTCCAAGAGATGGCCCCGCCCCTCCCTAGGTCTCGCCAGGTACGCTCGGGTTAACCCCGCCCCAAGTGGGTACTGCAAGCGCTAGCCCCGCCCCTTCGGGCATCCTCACAGAGTGACAATGTCAGCGTTGGCTGCTTCCATGGCGATGGTCAGAGGGTCCCTGCCTTCAGAGTCCCGAGCTCCCAGATCGGCCCCCCGTTTCAGGAACAGGCAGGCCAACCTGGAGAGGATAACTAGGTTCAGCCGCTGACTCACCCCGTGCGGAGCCTTCTTCCCCACAGCCATCATCCCTGCCACCCCTACCCGGTGTGGCCAAGAATGGTTGCGTGGTGGAGCGGGCCCCGGCCGTGGATGTCCGCTTGGTTCACGTTTGCTCCGTTCTGGAGGAGAAACTCACAGGCCAGAAGAGAATTCTGCATGGAGAAGTCGAGAATGGGGAGAGAAAGTGGCTTTCTTAG